GAATCCCCCCAGTTTTCCTCTGAATCCCCCCAGTTTTCCTCTGAATCTCTTCTCTTACTTCCAGTCTCCCTTATTTTACTTTTAACCTCTCCTACTTTATCTCGAATCTCCTATTTTTTTTTAAACCCCCTCTACTTTCCTTTCAATCTGAATTTTAAGTGCCCAGTTTCACACCCAGCCAGGTTGGCTGCAGGGCCACTGGAGAACCAGGAATTTCAGCAGGACACCACCAGAATTCCACATTTCCCTGCCTGTTCCCCTCCATCCCTTTCCCCTGGAGGTTCCATCCCTTCCCACCGAGGCAAAATATTTTTGCTCCCAGCCCTGCAGATGTGAAAACTCAGGGTAAAGCTGCAGTTTTATCGTGCCTTGGAGGTCCCATAAATCCCCACAGCTCAGAGTTCAGTGCCTGGCTCAGCTCAGCCTGGAGCTTTTTGCTGCAGGATTGATCCTCCTTCAACTGTTCCTCGCCTGAAGAGCTCAGTCCAAGCTCTCCCTGCCTAATTTCCATCCAGACAGGAGTGTCTGGCTCAAGGCTCTGGAGCCCATCAGTCACTCTCAGCTGTCTTTCTATCCCAGCTCAGTGTCAGGGGGGTGGCAGAGGGGCACTGATGTGCTGCTCACCTCTCTCTCTGGGGGCTTTGAGGCTTTTCCTCTCCCTCTCCTCCTTCCCAGATGCTGAAAATCATTAATAGAAAATGGAGGGAAAAAAAAAAAAAGTGCTAAAAGTGGCTTCATAAATTTCCTTTGCTTTCAAGGCTTGGAATACAGGGATGCAAAGTGCTGCTTGTCACAGCACTGAAATGTGGCTGTTGCTGGTTTACTAAAATTAAAAAAAAAAAAAAAAAAAAAGTCTGTTTCTAAGCAAGGCTGAGCCACTGGGAGCTGCAAATTATCCCTTCTGTTCCAGGCCTGATGGACACCAGAATAACTTGAGGAGTTCTGCATATGAATCCTTGATGGAAATAGTGAAAAACAGTGCCAAGGACTGTTATCCTGCTGTCCAAAAAACAACCCTGGTCATCATGGAGCGGCTCCAGCAAGTGCTGCAGATGGAGGTGGGTAAATCCCAGTTTAAACCTCCAGTTTAAACCTCCTCCCTTTCCAGAGCTGCTGCTCCATCCCTGGGAGTGTCCAAGGCCACGTTGGGCAGGGTTTAGAGCAACCTTGGTAGTGGAAGGTGGGACTGGGTGGGATTTAAGATCCTGGGATTCTGTTTGAAGCTTCTGCACAGTCCCTCTTGTCTTTAATTTGAAAAAAAAAAAACCAAAAAACCTAAAAAACTAAATATTTAAACACAGTGTGGACGTGCTGGTGTTGTCAGAACCCAGTACAGCCTCTTTTTCCCTTGTGTTCCAGTCTCACATCCAGAGCACCTCAGACAGAATCCAGTTCAACGACCTCCAGTCCCTCCTGTGCGCGACTCTCCAGGTGAGTGTCCCGCTGTCCCCCTGGGATTTTTATGGGAATGGGATGGCTCTGGGGGTGTTCCTGTGCCCCTGAGGAACCAGGCTCGGGGCCTGTTGATCAGATCTGAATGAGGAGAAGTGGATTTGTGTCCCAGCTGACACGTGGGAGGTGAGACGAGGATCAGAAGCCTCGAGTCGCGCTCCGGTGGCAGAATTTAGGGCAATTTGAAGCAGGAACACTGTGGGCAGCCTGTTAAAGGTGGGATAAAGGATTGTATGTGCTGCCAGCTTGGCTCCTGTGTTGGCTACAGCCTGAACAACCCCTTTGCTTGGCACAGGCAAAAAAAAAAAACCTCCAGCACGGCTCGAATTCCTTCATCTGCCTCCTGTGGTTGGTGTTCTTATTTCAAGTGGCTCTAATTAAAAGGCACCAAGAGGCCTTGAAATGAAACATCTGGTAATGAACAGTGTGACTGGGAGCACCAGGGCAGTGCAGTTCCTTAGTTACTCCTACAGATCCCACTGAAAACACTTTTATTTTTTTTTTTTTCTCCCCAAAATCAGATCTCAGGAGATTTCTCAGAGCACCCCGTTGGAATCTGGGTGTTTGTCTCCAGGTTGATTTGAGGAATCATTCGTCTGCTCCCTCAAAAGCCTTATGGTTGCTTTCACTCTCCAATTTTTAGGTTAATTTTGAAAAATAACGGATAGATGGGAATAATCTGTCCTTAAGTTGGGCTTCAGTGGGGAGATTCAGTGTCTGGAATCTCCTTCTGGTGATCCCTGATCTCTCCCAGCACAGCTTTGTTTGCCCCTGGGGAGTGTAAGAGAAGTGGAATTAAACTGCCAATTTTAATTTATAAACATGTGTTTCTTCATTATCCCAAAATCTGAACCTGAAGCATTTTCTCAATTGCAGCAAATACTTAAATTCCACTGAGTAAAACTCAGCAGAGGAGCTTTTTTCACTGTTAAATAGTCACAAACACTGTTTTGTTACAGAATTTTTTATTATTCTACCATAAATCCATTTGTTAATATTTAAAAGTAACAAGAAAATTCCATCTCTGGAGGTGTCCAAGGCCAGTTTGTACAGGGCTTGGAGCAGCCTGGGCTTAGTGGAAGGTTGGAATTTGATGATCTCCAAGGTCCCTTCCGACCCAAACCACCCTGTAATTCTATAAATCAAAGCTTAATTATTTAAACAGCCCCAGTCCATCTCTTTGGAGTGAAGAATCAGCCTTAAAATAATTGTTATTGTAAGGAATTGGTCCTTCTCTTCCCATAAAAAGTGTTTTCCTTCAACAACCAGCATTTCTAAAGTTGGGCCCGTCCGAGCTCACCCTCACGTTGCCACGACAGAGAAAAGGGACCCTCCTTGCTTTTTTTTTTTTGTTTTCATAGGATCAAATTTGGGCTGGTCACATTTAATTCCAGCTTACAAATGGAAAGCTGGGAGAACAGCCTATGCAGCAGGAAAGGTAAATTCAGCTCACCCCGTGGCTGCAGAATTGAATGGGAGCAGAATGAAAAGGGATTTTGCGGCGGCGGAGTTCAAACAGCAGCTTCCTCTCTGGGAATGAGGGGGGGAGAAGGGGGGTGGAAAAGCTTCACGTGGGCTCAGGGGGATGGAAACAGTGGTGGTGTGTCCTCCTGTCCCTGCAGAATGTGCTGAGGAAGGTGCAGCACCAGGATGCCCTGCAGATCTCGGACGTGGTCATGGCCTCGCTGCTGAGGATGTTCCAGAGCACGGCGGGCTCGGGGGGAGTGCAGGAGGACGCCCTGATGGCCGTCAGCACCCTGGTGGAAGGTCAGCTCTGGGCTGGGACAGGGCAGGGCAGCTTTGGATCCTGCTGGTTTGCTTTGTGTGGGGGAAAAAATAGCATCAGTTGCTGGTTTTGCTCGAGGTGTTGTGTGAGCACCCCTGGGACAGGGAAGCTGTGGCTGCACTTCATAGAATCACAGAATCAACTGGGTTGGAAGGGACCTCTGAGATCATCAAGTCCAAGCCTTGATCCAACCCCGCTTTGGTTCCCAGCCCATGGCACTGATGCCACATCCAGTCTCATCTTAAAAACCTCCAGGGATGGAGAATCCACCCCTTCCCTGGGCAGCCCATTCCAATGGCTGAGCACCCTCTCTGCAAAGAAATTCTTCCTAATCTCCAACCTAACCCTCCCCTGGCACAGCTTGAGACTGAGCCCTCTTGTCTTGCTGATGGTTGCCTGGGAGAAGAGACCAACCCCCCCTGGCTCCCCCCTCCTGTCAGGGAGTTGCAGAGAGTGAGGAGGTCTCCCCTGAGCCTCCTCTTCTCCAGGCTGAACAGCCCCAGCTCCCTCAGCCTCTCCTCACAGCACTTGTGCTCCAGTCCCTTCACCAACCTCTTTGCACTTCCATCCCTGGAAGTGTCCAAGACCAGGCTGGAGCAACCTGGGCCAGTGGAAGGTGTCCCTGCCCATGGCAGGGGATGGAATGTGATGATCTCTGAGGTCCTTCCCAACCAAACTGTTCTAATTCTGCACCCAAATTCAGGTTAATCCAGTAGAAGCTTCCAGTGCCTGGACACTGGACATTTGTTGGCCTTAGTGAGGAAGGAGGTTCTGCTGGCTGGGATTTCCCATTGGAATGTCAGGTCTGACTCTGCAGATCTGTGTATCATTGCTCCTCCTTTGCATGGAGAAATGGACTCAAGAAGGGGATACTGGGAAGGAATTCTTCCCTGTGGGGCTGGATTTTCCAGAGAAGCTGTGGCTGCCCCATCCCTGGAAGTGTCCAAGGGACTTGGAGCAACCTGGGCTAGTGGAAGGTGTCCCTGAGAGTAGAACTGGATGATCCTTAAGGTCCCTTCCAACTCAAACCATCCTGTATTCCATAATCTCACCATGTCTGAGCCTGGCTGGTTATTCCAGATTTCTGTTCCACGAAGGAGTGGTTTGATTTCAGTTTATAATGTTGCCACAGAGCAAATTTTGCCAGGAAAAAAAAAAAAAAAACCCAACAAATTAGTGCTACTCTGTCCAGTTCCCATCCCAAGGGAACCTGTTCCCTTGGAGCAACTCCAGGACAGATTGGATGTTACCTGAGTGATTCACCCTCCCTGGTGACTCAAGGCTGTTCTGGCAGTGGATTTACAGCCACTGCTCTTGTTTATCACAAATCACAGTGGCAAAAATCCACAGGGAATTTGGCTCTTGGGAATCTCCAGGTGGCCCTGGACACATTTCAGTGCCCCTCATTTCCTGGGTGTTGCCCTGGGGGAGGATTGATTTCCACTGGGTTTGGGTGGGATACAATGATGGGCTTCTGACTTGTTGAACTCCAGCAAAATAGGATTCCGGTCACAAATGGGTTTTTTTTTTCTTTCTAACTGGAATATTTTCCATGCACAGTCTTAGGTGGAGAGTTCCTGAAGTACATGGATGCCTTCAAACCCTTCCTTGGCATTGGACTGAAGAACTATGCTGAGTACCAGGTAGAGATCCAAGACTTTACTCCCTTTGCCCAGAGAAGCTGTGGCTGCCCCTGGATCCCTGGAAGTGTCCAAGGCCAGGTTGGAGCAACCTGGGATAGAGGAAGGTGTCCCTGCCCACAGCAGGGGGTGGAATGTGATGATTTTTAAGGTCCTTCCAGCCCAAACTAGACCCAATTCCGTGCATAAATTCAGACTTGAAGCAGCAGGAGCATCCAGTGCCTGGACACTGCACATTTGTTGGCCTTGATGAGGAAGGAGATTTTGCTGGATGGGATTTCCCATTGGAATGTCGAGCCCTGGTGCCCTCCAAGGGGATGGGTGCTGAGACACGACGTGGTTCGGTTTGCTCAGACTCAATCCCTGTCTCTCCATGGGCACCTGGATCTCTGCCCTGGGGTTAAGGAAGCAGGGACTCCTCAGCTGCTCTCAGGGTCGTTGTTCCCCGGGGTTTAATTAACCTCTCGCCACTCCAGAGTGCTGGAATGAGCTGGATCCGGGAGGCTGGAGCAGTGACTGACTCACGGTGGGGGTGTTGCTGTGCTATTTGCAGGTCTGCCTGTCTGCAGTGGGCCTGGTTGGGGACTTGTGCAGAGCCCTGCAGTCCAACATCCTGCCTTTCTGTGACGAGGTTATGCAGCTGCTCCTGGAGAACTTGGGGGTGAGTGTTTCCCTCCTCATTAGTAACAGTTGGCTGCACACTCCCGAGGGAGGTGGGAGGTGGGAGAAGCACAAGTGTTAGGAATGCTCGGATCATCTCGTGTTTGACAACTATCTTGCTTACTATTTGAACGGGATCCAAACTTATTGGGGGCAAGGATTTGCATTTGGAGTAAATAATCTGCATTTATTGGCTCCGTCCCCTTCCCAAAAAACTGAACGTGGCCCTGCTGGAATCTCTTCCAGAATGAAAATGTCCATAGGTCTGTGAAGCCCCAGATCCTCTCAGTGTTTGGGGACATCGCCCTGGCCATTGGGGGGGAGTTTAAGAAGTACCTGGACGTGGTGCTGAACACCCTCCAACAGGCATCCCAGGCACAGGTGGACAAGGTAAGGTGTGCCCAGCCCAGCAATGGGCTCTGCACGTCCTCGGGGCATTCCCAGTGTCTCATTCCCATTCCTGTGGCCCTTTCCAGTCTGACTATGACATGGTGGATTACCTGAACGAGCTGAGGGAGGGCTGCCTGGAAGCCTACACTGGGATCATCCAGGGATTGAAGGGAGACCAGGAGAACGTGCACCGTGAGTAACCCTGGGCTGGGTGGGGGCAGCTCTGCTGGGATCACGGGAATGCTGAAGGTTGGAAAAGATCCTTAAGGATCTGTCAGCCCAGCACTGCTGTGTCACCTCTGACCCACGTCCCCAAGTGCCACATCCTGCATGTGTTTTGAATATTCCAGGGATGTGACTCCACCACTGCCCTGTGCTGGTGCTTCACAACCCTTTCCATGAAGAAATGTTCCCAGATATCCCATCTGAACCTCCCCTGCTGCAACTTGAGGCTGTTTCCTCTTGTTCCATCCCTTGTTCTGGCAGCAGAGCCCGACCTGGCTCCAACCTCCTTCCAGGGAGGAATAAGGTCCCCCCTGAGCACCTTTTCTCCGTGGTTATCACATCCATGGGAATATCCCTGTTCATTCCCTCCCCTGTGGGAGTGAACACTCTGCTGCCACAGGCAGGGAACGTGTTTAGAGCCTTTCACTGTGGTTCCTCCAGCACCATTTCCCCTCCCTGTCAGAGAAGCTCTTTTGGGTCAGATTCTGCCTGTTTTGGGATCGCTGGAAGCCCTGGAAGCCCTGTCACACTGTCCCTGTGTCCCCCTGCTCTGACAGAACCTTTCCCTTGCAGCTGATGTGATGCTGGTGCAGCCCAGAGTAGAATTTATCCTGTCCTACATCGACCACATCGCTGGGGACGAGGATCACACGGACGGGGTGGTGGCCTGTGCTGCCGGGCTCATAGGGTAAGAAGGCCTTCCCCCCATTCCAGAATCCCTGGAATCTGCACTTTCTCCTGCCTGTCTCAAGTGTTTAACATCAGCTCTGGGGTTTTACAGCAGTGCTGGGTGTTTGACTCGGGGTGTGAAGGCGTCACACAGGTGGAAACCGGGAGGTGGAAGTGGAGGTTGTTACGGAAATTCCAGATTTAGGGTTTTTAAAGGGATGAGCTGAAGCAGAAAAGCTCAGAAGCAAAAAACCTCCTGTCCTCAGGGTACAGAGGAAACCCAGTTTGGGGTATTTTAGTCTTTCCTGCTGGATTTAGGGCAGATCAGCCCTGGGACAGGAGGCTGAGCATCCCTTTGAGGCGCAGACCTGGAATCAGTGACCATCTGCAGCGTTTTCCAAAGGATCTGTGAGTCAGAGCTCTGTGTGCTGGCACAGCTGGTTGTGGTGCTCAAAGCCTCTCTCTCCCCTCCTTCCAGGGATTTGTGTACAGCATTTGGGAAAGATGTTCTGAAATTAGTAGAAGCCAGACCCATGATCCATGAACTGCTAACGGAAGGGAGGAGATCCAAGACGAACAAAACGAAAACTCTCGCGACCTGGGCGACTAAAGAGCTGAGAAAACTGAAGAATCAAGCTTGGTAAGGGCTCCCTCCCACCTCCTTCCCTGCTCCACACTTTGGGGATCAGCCTGGAAGAGGCACAGTCCCAAAGGCTCTGTTCTCTCCAGGAGGTTGGTCCTCGTTTATTTTTTGCTCGGGGGGGTTTTGTTTGTCAGGACAAATCCAGGGGGGAGGAACGTGGGGAACTTGCACCAGGCTGGAGGGATTGGGGGTGAAATGTGGAATCATGGAATGGTTTGGGTTGGAAGGGACCTTAAAGCTCATCCAGTCCCCCAGGGACACCTTCCTCTGTCCCAGGTTGCTCCAACCTGGCCTTGGACACTTCCAGGGATGGAGCAGCCACAGCTTCTCTGGGCAACCTGTGCCAGGACCTCCCCACCCTCCCAGGGAACGATTCCTTCCCAATATCCCATCGCTCCTTGCCCCCTCTGGCAGTTTAAAACCATTCCTGTCACTGTCAGCCCATAGAAAAATCCCTCTCCTCCCTCAAATGTGTCACTTGTGCTCCTTGGGGACCATCCTGCACCCTCCAAACCTCCTGGAATTGAAACCTTTGGAGTTCAGGGAGCACCTGGGAGCTGCTCTCAGTGCCACAGTTGAGTTTTAGGGAGCTGGAATCCGATCCTCGGGGCTCCATTCCAACTTCAGATATTCCATGATTCCACCAAAACACCTTTTTAAAGGGAACAGGCTGCAAGGAAAAGTGGGATGAAGGATTATTTTGGCAGGATTGAGTGTCCCGCCTTTGTCACCCGTCTTGGAATTCCTTTAATATCCCTGTTATTTCTCTTGTGATCCTGCAAGGTCAATTTTTTCCACGTGAATGTTGGATTTCGGGGTTATTTTTTTGTAGAATCATGGAATTATTAAGGTTGGAAAAGCCCTCCAGGATCGAGCCCACCCCACCCACATCCCCAAACAGTGACAGACCCCCTTTTTTTTTTTTTCCCTTTTTTTTTTTTTTTTACTTCTCCCCCCTTGCTTCCAGATCTGTTACCATTGGGATGACACCTGAGAACCCCCACTGGAAAAATCTCCAATCTTTTGAAAAAAAAAACAACCCGGAAGTGAGGAGTGTGCACGGATGCTGAATG